ACCCGCAAGTAAAAATAATAAAGAAAGATGCAATGCCCTCATGTCAGGATATTAATTAAATAAACAACGCAAATCTCGAGAATCAAAAAAAAAAAAAAAAGAAAGAAAGTAAAAGACATCAGCTAATGGTCGGGGGTTGGGGGGTCACACCATGTTGGGACTAGCAACTAATAAAGGAAAGCGAATCACAAAGCCAGAAATTATTTGTCCGACTCTGGTAGAAACACATTAAGATCACAAAACACAAAGGTCAGAAATTAGAAATCTAGCTTATCGATCACAGGGGATGTGTCTAGATGGCCATCGCAATAGTCTCGTAACAAGCAATTCTGCTACATATTAATATGTGTCAGTTTTCCCGACTTGGACCATAAGATACCGATTCACTAACCTCACGAAAACCGATTATTATTATATAATATTAATAGCCCAGACCGAACCAAATATTTAATGTTTTTCTTAAAGCAAATGATATACAGCAATAATTTATATTACTACAATCGATCTACACCAAAACCAATCTAGTATTCATAACTATCGATTTACCCGGACTAAACAGCGGTGGATATTAAAGCTGTGATAATAATAATATTATTAAGATTCCCATTGTCTCATGCCATGCCATTAGCTCTAAATCAATATACCCTTTGCATCGTAATAAACCCATTATTATCGCGTTTTCCGGATTCTTTGATTCCATTGCCGTTCGGTAAATCTACCAAACCTCATAGATAACCGAACCAAAGGTTTATAGTTAAACAGAATAAATATTGCCAAAGTAAAACTGGCTGTCCATTTCCAAAAGTAGGGAAGTCCGTTATCGAGTTCAGGGAAGTTTGTAAAGTTCATACCAAAGACTGGATTGATAAAAAATGATAATATTTAGCAAACATGTGAACGTAAAAAAAACAATGCTCTCTAATGAATTGAGATACCGACATCCTGCCACGAAAGTCATCGGTGAGAAAATAACAGTCATTAGGGCAACAGCTTGCATATACTCATTCGTCTACACGGCAAACGGAAAAACGTATTTTAGTTGGCAAGTAAGTAAATGTAATTTATCGAATCAGTTGAAGGGATATACCGCTTACCTCATATGAAATAGCATTGAAAGTCTGATGGGATAATTTGCATAGTCGGGTTTTATCAGTATAAATGCAATCTCAACTTAACAATATGTCAACTAATCAATATACCACTAACCATGTTAATCAAGTTCTCAGATATAGTAGTCATCGTATCTAAATCATCCACGATAGTATTACAGTGATCCTAAGACCCGTCAGAAATGAGTAAACAATAATCGTCAAATACAGCCAAAACAATAATCGTCAAATACAGCCTTGCTTTCATCAGTTACATACCAGCACATCCGTGAAATATGTTTTCGCCATCTCGCTAATGAAATGGTTTTCATCATGATGCTGGTTCATATTATTAACTAGACCCTGTATTGGCCCCAAAGTCCTTCTGAGCAGGGTCAGCTCACCAGTAATAATATGAAGTTCTACACAACGCGCAAAGGCGGTTGGTTGTACGGTAAGCCCTCTGTATCATGTATTGTTTCAAAACGCATATTTCGTTGCTAACGGATCAGACGGATGCTTCGACTTACCTCGAGTATATTGCATTTTCGGTCGAATCAAGATTTTGCCTTCCAAATCGGCAATTTGGTGCCGGTAAGAGTCAGTAATCGGCAGAGCACTAAAAATTATAGACCAAGTAATAAGTAAAGAGTGGGAAAAAGGAGAAATTTAGGATGCTACGACAACCAACGATACAACGTTGATACGCACAGATCTACAATCGCGTCTATGACAGCTTCCATAAGCAAACTGACATCTTCTGATGTTCGCAGAAGGGTCCCTGTGCGTTTTAGTCTATTACAAATTGGGGAATAGACACTATTCCCACCGTGCTGGAACACAGTAATAAGAGTGCCTATACGATAAGGATTGTTAGGGTCATGTCTAACTAATATTGGTTAGTCTCTTTTAACAAATGGCGTGCTTGCATAATTACCTCCGGAAATCATAAAAATGCTAACATGCTCAACAATAACGTTCAATTTCTCTTTCCTCAGCAGCTTGTGCGCCTCCAAGTATTTACTACCTTCGCGATGACCGTGTTCTAATAAATTCTTACGAGAATTTGTCGGGGAAGTACTTTTCGAATCATGACCCGGCGCACTGACCAGATCTTCCGAGACATTTTCTCCATCTTGACTAATGAGCGTGTGGAGAATAAGCGAAATGTACATGTGGTTTGAGTAATGATCGCACTTGATGCCTGCAGAGTAAAAAAGACAATGGGCCCATGTTATTAGCACAGACGTTCGAAATCATGTTTTCTCTCAACAGTATTACTTACGTTGCGGTTCGTGGAGACAATCCTCTATTGACAGCGGATGTAGATCTACGATAAAATAACACATAAAATGTTACAGATGGAAGAGTTGCGGCAAGGATCATGAATATGATAAATATGAATATTACTGTATTCAATTGCGAGTGCCTTTATTACATCCCAGGAAACGCCGTCAACGTTAATCCATCTCACTTTACTCCAATCGGGCCGCTTTATATAAATATAACGTTAATCAGAAGAACTGGAAAGGTCAAGCCTTGTCCTTGTACACAACAGTCAGCCACGAAATACAATTACCTTTTTTTTTAGGAATGACTTGAGAGTATGGTTCTTTAGATTTTCATCTATGGTATACTTGCCTGTGCGTTTGATCAACACGCAACATGGTGAGTCAAAATTGATAGTTAAACAACTATAGCAGTCCAATATGTCTAAACAACTTACTTTTGTTAAAATCCGCGCAGAATATCTTACATGGTGCCTTGAAAATTCATGAACAAAAAATGTAGTCAAGAGCCAAGAACGAAAATATAACTGATATTTCGGCAATTTTTTTTTTTTTTTTGCACACGATGTAATTGAGGCAACGGTGCTATAACTAACTTACATCAATGTCATTAAAGTCCATACTATTGACATCAACACCAGCTTCGGCTCCCGGTTCCCAGAATTTCTCGGCTGAATTTGAGAATGAATTGAATGAGTTGCGGGCACGCGATAAAACTGCAAAACGCATTCATTGATGCGTTCAGTGAATGAACAGAAACATAATTCCTTACAAGACACGGTCAATCTGTTAATGTGGATGACCCTTTGCGCAAGCATTTGAAGCCGCGCTTTTCCACCAATGCCTATATAACGAATGTATCAATTATCGTGTGTTTTTGTTTTTCCATCGCAGCAATCCAAAATGGAGTTATCAATGAGGGATACGTACTCTCTCCGCTCTTGTCTGATTTATGCATTAGAATTGCATGCGAACGGTCTGTATCCTCACTCACAACAGACTGCTCCCTCTGTTCTAGTGCTATCTCTTCCGACTCGGATTCGGCGCCAAATTTACTCATTGTAATAATAGCAATCTATGTTAGATCTATAGGTTTATAAGGTAATAAGTAGGGTTCGCTATAACCGTTAATTGACATTTGCTGTGCTTTATTAATTGCACGTTGTATAACAGGGCTGTGAGAGGCTTGGCGAACCATTGAGTCCCAATGTTCTGTTTATAGACAGTAAATTACTTTTTTTACAAAGTTCGACCAATCATATGGCATTACACAAGTTTAGCCGTACCTCTTTTGTTGATTTCGACCAGCTAGAAACGAACTCTTCAAGCAAGTTATCGTGATTATCAACTCTATCTGGTTCAACGTCCACGTCCCAAGAGGCTCTTTTTCTTTTTTTTTACTTTCATTCCGTAATGGGTTTATAAAAGTGGATCGTGCCCTCGGATTTACGATGAGCTGACGAAGCCTCAGTTCCCTTGTAAGTATTCCAGATATCGTCTTTTGTTCATACAATTTAGGATGATTGGTTATTTCACAGACCTGTTCCAAGAAGTTAAAAATTTCTGTGCGGAAATACAACCGCCATTATCTGATATTATACATTATTCTATCTGATTTAACGAGAGAAGTTGGGTTATTGACTTTTTTTTTTCCTTTCCTTTTCTCTTCCCGTATAATAAAAGTCATGACATATAGTTCCAACAGATTGGTTGGGATACTTTACTCTTCTCTTAAAAGCACGGTTCTCGAATAATAAATTGCATTGCATTCATGTGACTTTTGATTAGTTGACCGAGTCATCGCCAAAGATATTTTCGGTTGGCACTTTTGACATGCAGGCTGGAATAATTCTATTGTTGCCTTATGAGCAATAATGGTTTCATAGATAGCGAAGAAAGGAGCCAAGCAGAACAAATTTAATTTCGTAGGCCAACGACGGTAGGTATTTATTAGTTAAGGCCTAATAATACTATCATCCAATGTGCTATTTGGGAAGCAAAAAGTCTTTAAAGAATCTTCTATATTAACGATTATCCAAACACAAATCAAATCCAAATGAGATTGGGGTTCTGTTACATCAACCAGTCATTGATAAATAGTCCGAAGGGAAAATACTATGAAGAAACTCAATAATGCAATGCAGCACAAAATAGCAGATTGAAATAAAATAATTCCAAGAAACTAGAAACGGTTTTCAACATTTCGCATTACACTCTGCAAAGCATGATTATGTAGTATAATGTATCTATTCTGCCGGGGTTTATTACCTCCATTATTAACATAACAAACAATATAACCCCAAAAAATTGCTTTGATAATACAATTACTATTGATTGTTTGATAAGCAATAATAGTCCGATCACCATACCAACTCTATTATTATGTAATTGTCCGTTCTCACTTATCATTGTCAGACCACAACATCATTGTCACATAGGTTGTATATAACAGTGCGAATACTCCAAAAAGAAGTACTCCTACGTCAAGAATCTTGGCAGTGATAGTGTTAGCTTTTCCTTTGAGATGGAAGAGAGGAGGGTACAAGAAACATAATGGCACGCTATGGAAAGAGAAAAAAAGAAATCAACGACGAATGCTTCGATTATACCAACTTGTAAATAACACGTTTACTACTTACCACGCAAATGACCCAATTAATGATACAAATTTGTCCAAGTCATCTTCTGAACTCCAGGCAATCAGTGCGCAAGCAAAAACCGTAACCGTACGGAACAGATTCTTCTGCCATTTCACCCAGTCATTATCCTTCCCGCTCTTTTCAAACAGTCCCTGCTCCATTATTCGTATTGCAGGAAACAGCTGAAGCGGGATAGATAAAACAATAGCTAATGCGTATAATAGTTGCACTGCCTGTACAGTTTGACTATCATTTGGTAGATTTAGAATAATGACCGTCTCTACTTTACTGCCAAATGCGGCATAAGAGAGAACACCTATAGATGTAAACAATACTGTAATGAAGACCATAACTCCAGTGAGGACGCGGGGGAATTTTAGTGGTTCTCTCATCGATTCAGTGATCGGGATGATCTAGAAAAGAAATAAACCATAAAATAGAATGTTATAGATTGTAGATTCGGCAATTGGAATGACTAACCAAACAAGAGACCTTCTTTCACATAAACGACGATTGTGAATACCTATCACATATTCATCCATCATGTGACACAGTTGAGATTGCCCAACCCTTTACCACTAATACATACCAAACCAATGCCCTCGAATGTAAACACTGCAGTGCCAATGAATAGTGCAAAGTCTTTACTATTAAAGAACTTAATGTCGGCCAATGAATCTCGACTCAATTTGAGAATGTCATAGTAGTAAAGATATCCCAAGCCGAGCAGAATGAACGCATCAGCAATCAAAGCCGTAAACGACAGCCTTCCTATTTTACGTATCATCGACATTGGCACAAATAATAATACCTGACCTATAATAAACCATTCCAGACCAATGTTCATATTCAGAGCGTTTTTGGTAACTGTAAAAAGATTCTTTGCCACAAATATCATATATGCACACACAAATCCAATCTGCAGACAGAAAAATAACAAGAAAGCGACGCGTTAATATCGTAGATAAGTAGATATACGCGTACAGGGTAAATGTACTTGTGCAAAGACTCAAACAATTCCATTACTTTACTGGAGATAATTCACAATCCTCTCCACCCCGCCTTCCCACACACAAGCTCCACCTACTTGTGAAATAGTAATCGAGAATAACACTGCCAATCTCATCCGCGGTCCGTATAATATTCTGCCAATCTCTACATAATTAAAATCACATGAGCAATCGATTCACATGACTCTGTATTATACTATACTTTGTATGCTTACCACCAAAGCTTCCCGGCACGACTTGTCGCGTTTCAACCAGTAGCAAGAAGGAAAAAAGAGAAATGATAGCAATCGCTATCAGTACGACTGTCGAGAAGATCATTCCTCCGTTAAGAAACCTAAACGTTTATATTTAATGATACCAGAAAAAAGTAATGCAACGATATAAATACCAGGAATGCTTGCTTTCAAGAATTTTGCTTTACGGAAGTTTGTACTCTTCCAACCGATCATAACAATGCCAATCTTCGATCACTGGTTTCAACAATAAGAACATTCTTAATTTCATCCGATCTATCACATGCCAAAAAACTTACGCTCTCGGTAGAAACATGACACCAGTACCGACGAAGGATTTCAAGAGTAGCAAACAAGCGCCAGATGCACTTACTGTTCCATGATGCAATTCTTTGGGAATAAGCCTTGTTTCCTCGGAACCGATTTGCTCATAATCTTGAACGAGTGACAGGACATCTTCTTGTTCTTCTTCATCTTCTGACAAATCTTCACCGGCAAAATGATGGATCATGGCCAAGAAATCAATGGAATTCTGGGTAACAAAGTTCGGCGGCTCTTTGCCCTCTTGTACGGCTTTCATTTTCATATGATGTCGACGAAATCCACCGGGCGCTCTAATTACACTCACGGGTGTCTCAAACGGGTCAGCACGGGGCATATTTAGTGACCGTGAGCGGGTACGTTTCATGGGTTCCGACTCGACATCTTTTTGCCATTTGTAAAAGTCATGAGCAGTGTCTCCACCGTGAAGCTGGTGAGGAGCATAGGGCGAGTATGGTTCGGGCGACTTCCCACGATCTATCTCGGCGCGCTCGTCTGGTGAAACTAAGTACGTTCTGAGAATTTCTGCCTTTTTAGCTTTCGGAATATCCACTGCTTGATGGTCTGGACTTAGTTCCCGAGCGCCTAGAGAGCGTGCGATCTGTATTCGAGACGGTTCAGGAGATGCACCGTATGCAGCAGAGGTGAGAGATTGACTAGTTGCACCATAACTGATATTAGTAGGTTTAGTGCGAGACTGTCCTGGACCAAACATTTGTTCAAGTGTCTTTAGTTTGAGAATTGAGGATGCTTGAGAAAATAGGTTAAGTGAGGAAAGTTACAACGGTCTGCAAATGATCGTACCGATGCTCTTTGTCATGAGCTAGAAATAAGGGGGGATGGGAGCTTTTAGGGAGCTGGTTTGCAGATTTGGGGGGGTGAGCACCAGTCGTTCATAAATGATTTTGTGCGAAGCGTCTTAAGTAGTGATGCTTTTCTTTTGTAGGCAATAGATAGTGATGATAATTATACAATAACGACTAAGGTTACAAATTTCCAGTTATTGTATCCATTAATTCCGGTAGTAAATTAATCGGCGCACAATAACAACCGAATACGTCTTCAGATTATCAGGGCTACCGCCGTTACCCGTCCTGTATGAAACTCAAATTAGGAATGATTTACATGATACCGTAATGACATGGCGGCTGTGTTTTTGTACGCACAAGTCACAAGATACTTGAAAGAAAAATATAATAAGCCAGAACTCTGTAATAAGCTGCATATATTACCACATCGTTTTGAATATTCTGAAGGGCATGTCGATAGAATGAGAACAGCCCATTTGCAGGCTCGTAGCACAAATTTAGTGGAACAGACGCATATTTGTGCATGCGAATATTTAATAAAGCATCACATGATGAAAATGTGATCAGCAGTATGTCACTGTGGTCAGCGCATGCAATACGTCTAAATGTAGTATTCTAACCATGGAGAGAATAGACTTATAGAAAGAAGTAAGACTGTATCTTGTTCCTAGGGTTTTTGATTGGATAACTGCGCAATTATTGAACCGATTATGGTTATTTACCTTATTTACCGCATTTTAATGCCAGTATCAGATATTATTATGTGATGAAACCTGTTTGATCGATCATGCACCATTTCCAGACAATTGTTGATTTATTATATATATTTTTACAACAAAGAGCTTTGTTTAAACGTATGCTCGATTTTATTAAATAGAGACATAAATATTAGTCGATGCTCTTTGTTACGCCGCATTTACGCGTATATACATAACAACAGCGCGCAATCAATCAAGCACAACAAGTTTCTCTTGGCTTTGTTCCCAAAAATTGTCCTGTCAAGGTCACAACCTGCAAGCATGTGTTACAAGTCTTAAATATATTAGCTATTACAAAGTGGAATATCTGCAAATGCTAACATTTTTTTATTATGGTCAATGATTCGGACACTTTTTTCCGACGCTTTTATGGTCGTACAGCATATTCTGCCATTCTAATTCTCCAAATCATAGTCGATACTACTAACACGAATGGACTAATTTGGACTAGTGTATAAAGTGTCGGAAAAAGTGTCTGAATTATTGATAACACGTTTGTATGTGATTTCAACCATGGATCACAAGCCAGAGAACTGCGCATGCATAGTGTAGAGGTATACGTAGGTGCACGTAGGCAATCGGTCAGATTTTCCGGCTAACATCAATCCAGCATATGTTACACGCACTTTTGTTCCCGTGTTTTTGTTTTGAGAATTGGGAAGACAACAAAAATGACATAATTGTACGACTTACGTCAGTATTGAACAATAGATGGAGGAAATGTCAGGGCAACACAATACCCGATCACAGATTAACCCTTCATTATTCATGGCGTAAATTGCGTAAATTGATTAACGCTGCATACAATCATTTCCCCTTCGTAATAGATTGATTATTTACCGTAACAGTAAGAATGGCGTCTATTGTGCCTTCAGGTCGTCTTGTAGGTCATGATTTTAAATCAATGGCGTCTGTATAATTAATGCTTGGCATAGATTAAGATGCATTTGTTTTCTGCAGAGATTTGATAAGATAATTTCATCAAGATTATCGTTAACTGGGAAGGGTCAAACTGACTTACTTTATCGGGTAAGACTTTTTTAATCAAACAACCTTCGTATTTGAGACTAGAAACAACATTTGATTTCATACAGGCAAGAAAAATAAATCTATAATGCATTGGGTGTCATATGACTATAGTATATTTCAAGTCATGACTTCAATTTAGAATTAATTAACTGCAGAAAAAGAAATGACAACGATGCAATATTGTGTTCATGTAAAACATAACTACGAATGGAAACTGGTTACTATGAACACTTACTTAGTACTAGGTGTTTACAATTCCAAAACAACTTGAACTGGGTATAAGTTAGCAATGTTATTTATTACACATACCCAAGTATAGGTCGGGTCTGCATATTATATAATACTGTAGTAAATACATACATTAATGTCAAATACATAACAAACAATCATGAATTGTGTTCGCATCATTGAGTGTTTTATACTAATTACCAGTAGCTGTTCTACCCGTTAACAATGCTTGTTCCAGCTGCCGAGACAAAAGTTGCCAGGCATCCCTTCTGTCTGTGTAATGTGAGGCCGACTCTTTACTGGTTCCATTGACCTGCTTTTTTCAAATGCGGTCTAGGAAGTGTACTGACAATTAATGGTTATTACTATTACTATATTACATTCGAATACGTAACCCATTGAAATATGGTGATCCAGCAATATAGCAATACTAATCTAATGTCACATAATCGGAAGAAATATACTTAATAATGCAAAATACTAATTATGTTAACAAAAAACTAACCACAACGTTAATTTTATAGAATACTCGTATGTCTTATGTTAGCGAAATCGACAAATTTCTCGACTAGCTTTAACGAGAAGTTAATCGCTACACAAATCATAGAATAGCAAATTAAAAGGAAACTATTTAAAGTGTATGACCATTCATTCAGAACAACGGCTCTGAAATTTGTGACGGCAAACCCCTTAGACATACTATTATTCGCAAAGATAGAGACTTAAAAATAACAGTTTCAAACATCATGAGAATTTTATCCACTCGATTTGTTTGTAGAAGCTCTCCATTTAAACAATCCGTCAATTCGTGGCTCCCTCAACACGTAACAAATTAATTAATTTATACGTAAATGGGCAGTTGGAATTTCAAGAATATGTATTTCAAGAAAGAGTGGATCGCCCTCCCGGCTACCCCGAAGCGTATTAGTATTAGTATGAATATTTTGGACTTCGCGGATTTGATAATCAGAGTGACGTATAATAATAAGGAATAAATATTTCAACCAATCAGTTCATATCCACGAAACCTTTTTTTTTTTCACGAGGGTAAAAGGATACCCCTCCGTTATGTGTTTTCTAACAACGCAAAACTCAAGGTGAGTCTGTCTTCAATCTTTTACTAGATAATAGAGACTTTGAATGAGGATTTTGAAATTCTTTCCCCATCTTATCGACCATGGTGAAAGTCGAAAGATTTTGCTTCCTCGCTGGGGAGCATATGCCAGTACCTATCTGACTAAGAAAAGAAAGCTGAATATGAAACTGGGGTTTGCTGTTTAACAGAAGTGTTCATATCTTTTTATTACTTTTTTACTTAATGACAGATGACGTTTTTGAAGACTGGACACGAATATTCCAAGCCGTAGTCACTGTTTACTATTAGATTATAAGTACCATTCAATAAAAGTTTGAAGTATTCGTATTTGTAATATACGTAATGCAAAGGGTCAGTTCACAAATGGTGTTTTCTAAACAATTTATCGAGTGTTTGTTTCTTTAACCGGTATATGGTGATTTCATACGCTCACTTCTCAACTGGATTAGTATTTAGTCTATTCGTATTCTCTTCCTCGCTTTGGTGACAAACGAACTCGTGCCGATGCTTTCGTTCCTTTCCGTTTGTTCCAAGGCATTCTATTAGTTAAATCTCCACTTCGTCCAACATCTCATCAATCTGCTTTAATTTCACAAACACATCGCATCCATGATCATTCAATGATACGAGATTCATTGATCCACCAAAATAAGCAGCATATAATCTTGCCAAGGGTAATCTACAATCATATCGAGGACATATTACGCACAAAGCTGATAATAGAATGAGCGCTCTTTCTTACATTACAACTTACCCATAACCGAGTCCAGCGATCGGCCCACCAAATCCAGCTTGCATGGTCATAGTGGTAACAGACCCCAATACGTTCCTCGAATAGCTCTCTTGTTTGGCAGTAGTATACGAGTACTCGAATACCGATGGCAGATCCTTTGCAGAAATCCCGCCTCCTTGATCTCTCACTCTAATTCCAATACTACTCTTCCCACGCGATATAGTAACTTCAATCGCAGGATAATCCTTTCTGCCGACCTTTTGGCTCAGCTCAACCGTAGCTCTGCAAGCATTCTTTAGTATTTCAGCAATGATATACTCTAAATGCACAGGCACGTATGCAAAACGTGTATCCGTCTGACCGGTTATACGTATTTCGGGAAAAGATCCATAATGCGCTTCACACAGATTTTGAACAAAGGCTGCTCTAGTACGGATCAAATTTCCAGGGTGAGTGCGAGTGTCAATTATGCCGATAAAGTTTGGATCAAGTCTGTCATGTAAGGCGAGGTGTTGTTCGCCGATAAGACGGATACCAATGCGGGCGCGAATTAGATCATCTAGAAATCTTTTGATCGCTTCATTCGACATATACTTTTTACATTCCTGGAAACCTACACACAAAGATAAGAATAATAGACATGATGTTAGAACAGTAAGGAGTGGATAATACGCATAGAAAGGCAGTAACCCTCCCTAGTGTCAAGCACTAGTTCAGTCCCAAGTTTACAAGATCATTATTTCACTTTCTATAAATACAATCATGTCTGTCTCAATGATCCGGTCTCTACTAATAAAGGGTTCCGTGCGTGCTGTCTAATATATTACGCAATCGCATACCTCTTGCTAATGTTGGAATATTTTCTGCGTGCAAATTGACTGTCTGCTTCAATAATTGCGTAAATTTCCTATCCGTTTCTTCATCCTTGATTTCAGGGAAATTCCTGATCACGTCGAAGGAGTTACAATACAGATTATATACATTCATAATGTATGGGTTGGTGCCTACAATAAAGGGAAGATTCTGAAAGGCCTTCACTCTCCTAGCAAGTCGGACAGGAAG